GCTGCCACTCCCCTCAACCCCCTCAGCCTGAGGCACCTGCACACAGGAGGCCCTGACTTGACCCCAGGAGATGCACAGTGGCTGGAAGGAATGTCTCTAAAAAAGGACACATAGGTCCCCAGCAGGCTGGCCATGTTCTGGCTCTGGAATCCTCCTGGGGAGCCAGAGTCCTACCTGATGGAGAAGTTCCCATGCCCGGGGCCCACCGTCATGATGGGAGGGACAGGGGCTGCAGAAGCAGGGATTTGGGATTACCCACCCCAGAGAGGCGAGGGGCTGCTTCCAATCATGGGTCCTTTGTGAGCAGTGGTGTTTTGGGGAGGGGCAGGGCTGGGGTGGAGGTTGGGCTAGCATCATCTGGCACCCAGCAAAGCCCTTAGGATCCCTGCCTCCTCTCGATCCCCAGAGTGGTGTCCATGAGGAGGTGGGCTAGGGCGGGAGAGCATGACCCACGAGGCCTGGTTACTGGAGGTGGGTCATGGGTACCTGGTTGTCCTGAGGCCCAAGGAAAGCTGATGTCACGTGTGAAGAAAGTGGAGGAGTAAATCCTGCCAAAGCCAGCAGTTTCCTGTGTGGTCCTTACACGCAGGAATGTGAAGTGGGGCGGTGTCTACGGTGGACATAGCATGGACATGGGGAGACCAGTGGGGGTGCAGAGTGGTCTGTGTTTTTTCTGAGGATCCCCTTGCCTCCCAGACTGGAGCCCCACAGCCACCAGGTGAGCTGGAAGGTAGACGGAGCAGGCCCATGCACTTGTGCACCCATACACGTGCGTGTGGATACAAGTGCGTGCCATCCAGAGCCTTTATCTCAAAGCCTTGAAGAGTGAGCATAGAGACAAGTGTGGGCTGCAGCCTGGCCTGAGTGTGGAACAGCGTCAGCTCAGCCCGCACACGGTGTGCACCCCAGGGTAGTTGTGTGGGCCATGCGGCCACGTGTCTGAGGGGTGCATGAGCGCCTGTGCGAATGTGCCTCTATGTCCCTGGGCAGGCCTCAAGCACATGCCATGCTTTCTGGGAACCCAAAGGGACCCTGGAACCCCACTGCCCTTTCTAGGAGGCCTCCTTGGGGCTCAGGCTCTGCTCCCTGGTCTGTCCCCAAGGGGACATGTAAGGGGCCCATGGGGCAGCTGATCCCACTCCTGTCATGGACCCCTCCATGCCTGGTGTGTGTAGGGGTGGGTGTAGCTCCCCTCTGATCTGGGCAAAGGGCACTGGCCTGAGAGGAGGATCCCTGGACGCAGACCTGGCTGTGTCCCTCACTCAGCATGGTCCCATGATGAAGCCCAGAGCTGGCACCTCCCCTTTGCAGAGTTTCTGTGTCTTTGCTGGGGGTTGGGAACAATCTCTTGGTTCCCAGGGACCAGGTGAGGACTCAGTGCCACAAAGAATGCCACAGTGAACACAGCAGCAGGCCACACGGCTGTCCAACCAGTTATTATTATAAACCCCTGGGGTTGTGGGCCTCTTCCCTGTCTGCCCCACCCCACTTGCCCAGGCAGCTGGAGTTGGTTATAAACAGGAAGGCGTGGGGCTACCACCCACTCCCCGAAGACCTGAAGTTCAGCACCTCGGCTAAGCTCCCTCCTGCAGTGCACTCGAGGTCCCAGCCTGGCCCCCACTCACCGATCAGCAGCCAGATGGAGAAGCGCAGCCAGGTCAGGTAGCTCAGCTTCAGCATGAGGCAGATGTTGAGGAGGATGCTCAGGGCTGGAGTCAAGGGCACCATGGGGATCTGAGGGGGCAAGGCCAGGGCTGGGCTGCAGGAAAGATCTGTGGCCCAGGGCCTGATTTCACGGGAAGTCACACAGCCTTTCTCTTTCTCTGGACATTCTGGAGACATATGTTCCCTCTCCATGCAGAGAGAGAGGGGGATAGATGTTCTGGCCTCGCCAGCCCCATAAGCCCTTGTTCATGCTGGGATGGCAGAGAAGGAAAGGGCAAAGGGAGCCGGCTGGGCTGTGAGCAACAGGTGTTGGTTGGGGAGGTACCTGGAAAGTGTCTTGCCGGTGCTGCTGCTGGTGAGCCCCCAGGATCAGGAGGCTGAGCAGAAACACGACACCGCTGAGCAGGAGCAGCAGGATGTAGCCCCATCGGGGAAGGTGCAGGGCTGAGTCCCCGAAGACCAGCACACAGCCCAGGATGATAGCCGAGGCCACCAGGATGCCGAGCGCCCACGCCACGGCAGCCCCAGGGCTGCACCTACCCAGGAAGCCCAGGTAGGGCATCAGTGCTGCTCGCAGCTGCCCAGGCTCGGGGACTGAGGCCTGCGCAGCACCCACCAGCTGTAGGTGGTCTGAGAAGGAGCTGTGTCCCTTGTCTATGGGGCCAGGGCTGGCCGGGCCTGGGGAGCTGGGTGGAGAAGCCTTCTGGAAGCGCAGCACAATGATGCTGGCAGCCACAAAGGTGTAGGCCAGCAATGTGCCGATAGACAGGAACTGGACCAGTGCCTCGAGGTCCAGCAGCAGCGACAGGAGAGCCATGAGGACCCCAAACACCAGGATGCCCACCATAGGCACCTGTGTTCGGGGGTGAACACGGGCAAACACCTGGAAGAAGAGCCCGTCGGCAGCCATGGCATAGACAATACGTGGCAGAGAGAAGAGGTTGCTGAGCAGGACGGTGTTCATGGCTGCAGCAGAGGATGGGGAAATGGTCAGCATGGTAGAGAAGCCCACCAGGGTCCTCTGCTGTGGACAGGGAACGACAGGCCCCTTGGGAACATGGAAATGATTATCTGGACTCTCAGAGTGAGCATGAGTGTGTGTGGGGTGCTGGGTTGCCAGTCGAATGGGACATTCTGGTTTAGGTCACAGGCCCATTGGAGAATCTGATAAGAGCTGAGTCCATCTATCCAGGAAAGGACCTTTAAGCACATTCCCAGAACTGACATTCTAGGTATAATGTGGTGGTGGGGGCGTCGGGGGTTGTCTCTACTAACAAGCCTCGCTGGAGGGTCTCTAATAATTAGTATTTCCTAGGCCCATTATTTAACTAATGAAAACGAGGCCCAGATGGAGGTATGTTCTGTGGGAGGCTCATGGCAGGGCCCCAGAGCCCTTGTTTCCTGCCACCCTGCCCAGAAGGGTCCCTTACCGCAGATAGAGCCAACTGCCACGATGAAGCCAGCCCAGCTGTAACCCCGCCTGTAGAAGGCGTCGGCGAGCGCTGAGTCGGGGTCCAGGCTGTGCCAGGGCACCATGAGGGTTAGCACGGTGGAGNAGCGTCAGCTCAGCCCGCACACGGTGTGCACCCCAGGGTAGTTGTGTGGGCCATGCGGCCATGTGCCTGAGGGGTGCATGTGCGCCTGTGCGAATGTGCCTCTATGTCCCTGGGCAGGCCTCAGGCACATGCCATGATTTCTGGGAACCCTGGGAAGCCAAAGGGACCCTGGAACCCCACTGCCCTTTCTAGGAGGCCTCCTTGGGGCTCAGGCTCTGCTCCCTGGTCTGTCCCCAAGGGGACATGTAAGGGGCCCATGGGGCAGCTGATCCCACTCCTGTCATGGACCCCTCCATGCCTGGTGGGTGTAGCTCCCCTCTGATATGGGCAAAGGGCACTGGCCTGAGAGGAGGATGCCTGGACTCAGACTTGGCTGTGTCCCTCACTCAGCATGGTCCCATGATGAAGCCCAGAGCTGGCACCTCCCCTTTGCAGAGTTTCTGTGTCTTTGCTGGGGGTTGGGAACAATCTCTTGGTTCCCAGGGACCAGGTGAGGACTCAGTGCCACAAAGAATGCCACAGTGAACACAGCAGCAGGCCACACGGCTGTCCAACCAGTTATTATTATAAACCCCTGGGGTTGTGGGCCTCTTCCCTGTCTGCCCCACCCCACTTGCCCAGGCAGCTGGAGTTGGTTATAAACAGGAAGGCGTGGGGCTACCACCCACTCCCCGAAGACCTGAAGTTCAGCACCTCGGCTAAGCTCCTGACATCCTGAGGACCCCCTGACCTGAATAGGCCTGTAAGTCCAAGCTGCCCTGGATAGAAGGGGCTCCCAGCCAGCCTCACATACTAGCCAGCTACTCCGTGCTGCCGGGCTCCTGGGCTGCTGCCTGGCTGGGGGGCTGCACGGCCTGCACCGTCTCCTCCAGGCTGCCACTGGGAAACACCACATAGCGTGTGGTGGTCAGCCCCGGTGGGTCCCGCTGGTTCTCCTTGCTGTGCCAGATGCCATAGCCAAAATACACGGCAAGACCTGCAGGAGTGGCACAAACCTGAGGGGCAGGTCCCAGCCCTGCTTGCCCTCCTCGCCCTCCTCCTGCAGTGCACTCGAGGTCCCAGCCTGGCCCCCACTCACCGATCAGCAGCCAGATGGAGAAGCGCAGCCAGGTCAGGTAGCTCAGCTTCAGCATGAGGCAGATGTTGAGGAGGATGCTCAGGGCTGGAGTCAAGGGCACCATGGGGATCTGAGGGGGCAAGGCCAGGGCTGGGCTGCAGGAAAGATCTGTGGCCCAGGGCCTGATTTCACGGGAAGTCACACAGCCTTTCTCTTTCTCTGGACATTCTGGAGACATATGTTCCCTCTCCATGCAGAGAGAGAGGGGGATAGATGTTCTGGCCTCGCCAGCCCCATAAGCCCTTGTTCATGCTGGGATGGCAGAGAAGGAAAGGGCAAAGGGAGCCGGCTGGGCTGTGAGCAACAGGTGTTGGTTGGGGAGGTACCTGGAAAGTGTCTTGCCGGTGCTGCTGCTGGTGAGCCCCCAGGATCAGGAGGCTGAGCAGAAACACGACACCGCTGAGCAGGAGCAGCAGGATGTAGCCCCATCGGGGAAGGTGCAGGGCTGAGTCCCCGAAGACCAGCACACAGCCCAGGATGATAGCCGAGGCCACCAGGATGCCGAGCGCCCACGCCACGGCAGCCCCAGGGCTGCACCTACCCAGGAAGCCCAGGTAGGGCATCAGTGCTGCTCGCAGCTGCCCAGGCTCGGGGACTGAGGCCTGCGCAGCACCCACCAGCTGTAGGTGGTCTGAGAAGGAGCTGTGTCCCTTGTCTATGGGGCCAGGGCTGGCCGGGCCTGGGGAGCTGGGTGGAGAAGCCTTCTGGAAGCGCAGCACAATGATGCTGGCAGCCACAAAGGTGTAGGCCAGCAATGTGCCGATAGACAGGAACTGGACCAGTGCCTCGAGGTCCAGCAGCAGCGACAGGAGAGCCATGAGGACCCCAAACACCAGGATGCCCACCATAGGCACCTGTGTTCGGGGGTGAACACGGGCAAACACCTGGAAGAAGAGCCCGTCGGCAGCCATGGCATAGACAATACGTGGCAGAGAGAAGAGGTTGCTGAGCAGGACGGTGTTCATGGCTGCAGCAGAGGATGGGGAAATGGTCAGCATGGTAGAGAAGCCCACCAGGGTCCTCTGCTGTGGACAGGGAACGACAGGCCCCTTGGGAACATGGAA